GTTCTCAGGCCTGTGCGAGACCTGCTTTGAGGCAGTACTCCTGTTTCTTCACTCGAGATGACCCCTACACAGGTAAAAGAATTGTACTTGTAAATTTGATTTGTACTTGTAATGTGGCAAAGATGTAACTTTTTAACTTATATTTGTAACTTAAAAACTTGTATTCTCACATAAGAAGTGTACTTGTAAATTTAATTCTTACTTGTAAATTTGATTCGTACTTGTAAATTTGATTTGTACTTGTAAATTTGATTTGTACTTGTAAATTTGATTCGTACTTGTAAATTTCATTCGTACTTTTAATGTGGCAAAGTTGTAACAAATTTATGTATGTTKATAGACTTACATCTACAAATTTAGACTCTTASACATACAATAATTCTGACAGTTATCTTATCCCRTACAAATTATTATCTGATTCATGTCTGTCATTGGCAGCATTCGGAACAACTAAAATCATGCTTTCAGCAGATCAAATCAACATGTCTTGCCCGAGGAGGTGCAGTAGTCATGTTTTCTGTCTGATGCTCTTGATTTGAGATGCATTAGTTGAACTGAATTATTCACGTCAAAATAATTGGGTTACTCTGAATAAATGCAGCGCAAACAACACCTGAATGTCTAAAATCAAGTCTGATCACTACAGCACAATGAGACTGTTTATATGACTGAAGCTTTCACATTTAATCATATTGAAATAGCAGAGTAAGATAATCTGTTCTAGATGAAATGTTTTATAATAAAAAAGTATTTATGTTAACATAACTGTGTTAATGTTGATTTTTTTTTATTTAACTAAATAAATCGTAATAAGTTGTATCGTAGTTACAAACTGCTAGTATCAAAGGCACTATTTAGCTACCAAGCTTACAGTTGACCTAGTTACTAGCAAAAGATCCGATCTTATATTGGGTTTTTGTTTGGTCGTCTGTTACATGTTGACTCAACATTGGTTAATATCTTAAGTTTAGGAGTTTAATTATGCCTAAATGACTCATGAGTCAATGCTGTTTGGAAAAACAGTTCTCTGAAAATGGTCAGGTATTGTACAGAAAAAGTGTAAAAATAAAACAAAAGCAGTCAAAATTGAAGTCCAAAGAAAAACTTCATGAGACCTTCAGAAAGTCTGAAACTATTAACCATGACCAGCAAAATATTACAAGAAAACTGAGTAACTTTAAAGCAAAACATACACTACCATACTTGAAATAATGCATATTGCCCATGGCCACACGTAGGGGTCTCTACAGTACAAACGGGGAGTTTCTTGACAGTGTGGGCAAAGTTTGTCCTAACCACGATTCTTGGTCTGCGGCGTTTATTCTAACCATGATTGGTGGAGTTTAGAATGTAGGCATAGGCTCTTGGGTGTGGGCAGAGTTTGGCAAAACCGTGATTCGTTAGATTAACTTGTTTTGTGGAGAAAGTTAAAGTAATAGTAATAGTAAAATTAATGGACACATGTAAACATAATTTAAAGACTAGAAATTCCGTGTGGCTGGCACCTTCCTCTCTGAATAAGACAAAAATTATTATTTATGTTTAAAGTTATATGAGATTTCTGGATGTTTCAACCAAGCTACATGTCTCCACAGCTGCCCCTGGCTTCTTCAGATTCCACCCAAAACAGTCAAGCCGACCAATCACATCATTACCATACTCCTCCCACACACCAAAAAACTCCCACTTAGTGACTACAGATACCTCCTTCTCCATGGCCTTGTGCACAAAAAGTTTAAATAAATCTCTTGTGCAAACATTTAGCACTCAAGGTATGTTATGGGGATGACTTATTACAGAAACAACAAAACTGTTCTTTATTATTATAATACATAAAATAAACAATATGTTGGATGTGTGGGTTGTCTGTCACACTGCTTGGGTGGAAAAATAGCATTTCATAAAAAAGTCTTAAAGCTTCYTCAATAAGTGCATAGAATTAATTTTAAAATGGCTTTCCAACAATTCTATAAGTTCCTTACAGGCAAAGTGCTTATAAATGGAATTCTGACCCATCATTTTATTCCACATTATGAGTCGAGTGTTATTCAGAGTGATAAATGTGAGTATGGTATCTACATTCAAGTGTTAATATATGTCTATACAGTACAGTGCGAAGGTACAGGTGCCACTTCAACATTATCTTGCTTGTCACATCTGTAGGCTGTGTATATCTAAGGCRAGAAGTACTGTGGGTTTAATAATGCAGCCTTCAACATGACTGAGTGCCCCACTATTAATCACGTTAATGACTCAGACAGGAAGCCAGATGGATTTGGGTCCCGGTTTGTTCTTATGAATGAGGAAATGAGACATGGCATTATTAGAATAGGGCCGTACACACACACAAAAAAAGAAGAAAAAAAAAAGAAGTTTGTCTTACTTGATGTTAGGCTCATAATCCTGATAGCTGGTTACGAAAGAAAATAAAAGAGGCAAAAAATAAATGAAGTCACATCAAAGCAAAAGAGAGGTGTAGAAGGTGAGGATGGGAAACCAAATGTACAGATTGAGACAAAGAGAAGGAAACAATACTAGGAAAAAAAAGACTAATTGTGTCGGGATTAAACCTGGAAACCAACATGGAGACCAAACATTTGTTCGTGGAGGGATTYACAGGTGCTAAGTGAATTAGCTCAGTTCACAGGAGTGCGTTGCTTCCCCTGTAAAYGCTGGCAGACTTTTGCATTTAAGCTTTCATAAATAGGCCAGGTGTGTTCGAAAAAATACACACAAAAAAAAGTGAGAAAAAATGATTTATGAATTCACCAGCACGAACATTAAACATGATTTTCCCAGAGCTGTCTTAATGACCTGGTGGGAGAGGTACTTCATCAAGGAGACGGCCCCCAGATTGGGCAGAGAAACACAAAAAGGACCAAAATGTGAGCCTCTGTCCTGTGGCGGTTTTAGTCTAAAGGATGGTGGATGACAGATACGAGAGGTCGCAGGACAATGTGTCTTAGAGGACAGGCAAAGACGTGGCTACATGACTCATTTCAGCGTGTCCTTTTCTGGAGTTATCAGATAAAAAAAATAAATTAAAAAACTGGGATTGGTTCTGATGATTGCTTGGATGAAGCTTTGAGGCAAWAAGTTAATAACAGCTGCCTTTCATTTGGTGCTTTGTCCTGTCAGGTTTTGCCTGAAAGCTAGTAATATACTTTTGCTGATGACCCTCTTATATCGTAAGCATCATTAGGTGCAAAACTGTTTATGCTAACGTGTGTGTTATTGGAGAAGCCTCTATTAAAATGGGYATTTTAGACAAACTAAGTGTGTTGGGAAAGCTTTTGTGGAAAATTTTAGAGGAAAGTTGATTTTCCTATACAAAGAGTTGTATTTTTAGATACAGATTTGTAGCTTTTCTACAAATATATTTATTTATTTAGCAAATAAAGTGGACATAAATCTCAGACAAGGTCAAATTGTGAGATCATGTAGCTTGAGAAATTAGAATTTTCTGTAAGTCTACTGTGAGTGCCGAAATTTCCTGAAGCTGAAACTAAATTGAAAAAAGTTAAAACAAGCAGAACAGAAGCTAAAAGTTGGAATGAGAAAACCCATAGGTATGAGCTAAAATTTAATAAATAGTAGGCAAAATGAAATAACRAGAACAAAGGTAAAACATAAAGCTAGTAAATCAGGCTAACAGCTAAAGTTAGCCAGACCATAACTAAAAGTTRAAATTAGAAAAACAAAAGCTAAAAGATTAAATTAGCTAAACAGAATCTGAAAACAAATTGAGAAAATGGTAGAAATAAGCTAAAATTTGGTAAACAGTTGCTAAAACGATTGAAAGATAAAATAGGAAAAAGTAGTTTTATTGCTTTATTGCATTTGTAATAGAGTCAATTTTCTTTTTTAACAKTACAGTYAGTGGTGGCACGACGGCTCARTGGTTAGCACCAACRGCCCAGGTCCTGGGTTCGATTCCCAGTTTGGACCTTGGGTCTTTCTGTGCGGAATTTAAATGTTCTCGTCGTGCTTGYGYTGGTTTTCTCCRGCTMCTCCGGTTTCCCCCTCCCCTAAAMACATGTACAATAGGTTGCTTTCAGGCTCAGGCCTCCCTTGAAAAARAGATCYGCAATCTCAACGGGACTTGCCTGGTTAAATAATGGTAAATAAAATAAAATAAATAAACAGTAAAAACYCCAATAACATCTGTATTTTTCTTTCAAACCATGAAATCTAGACCCAGGGTAGAATTTTATGTCATGATATCACTGCAGTCCAACTACTCAACCTCAACTATGCTCACCACAAAACCAAAAATCCAGGCAAAAAAGGCTGAGCAACATACTATAAATATACTACTTGAGGGCAGCGGCAGAGTGATTTCAGCTGAGAAAAGTGTTATTGTTCTAGTTGTTGAACAGAAAKACCAAAAATGAGACCATTTGAAGCCGACTGTGGCGTCAAATTACCCGTTTCCAGCCAAATGGCTTAATTTGCYGAGGTTCCATTTATTGTCGCAGATCATTTATGGATGAGGCCAAGATTGGACCGTTCAACCCGTTTCAAATCTGCACATGAAGTTCTTTCATCGGCTGTTTCTTAGAAGAGGGGAAGTGCTGCAATCAGCCCAACTGGGAGGTAATTATTTAACCAAAGGTGTGCTTAATATGCTAATCGGCTAAAAAAATAATTAAAACATCAGTGAAGTAGAAGTTTTTGATGACAGCGGAGGCCTGTTTTTTTTCCATCTTTAGCATCAAAACACTTGAAAGTTTCATCAGTTCTAAGAGAATTCACTCTAGAGAGCAGTAAATATGCTGCTTTTAGAGGTTTGTTTGGGGTTAAAAGTCACAAAATAAATCAGGGGTCATGTTGTAGTTCATGAATCAGAGGACAGCTGTGGTCTCCATTAAAGGGGAGAGGAGGGAGGGGAACGAAACAACACATCAAAAACACAATATCAATTCTACTTTACACCCTCTACTGAGAAATGTTGCATCTTACCGGTGCCATTCGACAACAACACATCCATCATAATAACGATAGCTGAAGTGAAAAGAGGAAAAAAAAGGTGACATGACAAACAGAAAGATGTTGGAGATAAACATGGTGCAAGATTAAAAAAAAGAGGAGGATGTAAGTGCTAATCAAAAGCAGGAAAACAGAAGAAGGAGATGAAATATTTATACTAAAACAAGGCAGACTGATGAAATCTGAAGAGAAGACTTGACATCRAACCAAAAAGCAGAAAGATGAAATAAAAGAAGTCGTTAAAAAAAAAGAGGCTAAACTGACACAATTAACCAGAGCTTCCACTTCAAGATCATCAAACCAGTTCGGCTTGATGAGTCGCTCGGAAAAAAAAAGCTGAGATGAAAACAAGACAAGGCAGAAAACAGAAACACATTTATGTTTTTAACATTTAAGCATTTCTTTAAACGCCTAAATCCTTTGATCACAGCTCCTATTAAATGCTTCTTTTCTTTGTTCGTCCTGAGATAAAACAGTCACCTGTTGATGGTTGTGACAAAGTGTGTGCTGCTAACAACACTCAATTTTGCAAACCTGTTTGTGCAGCTGAGCATTTGGTGATATGTCAAAAACTACACAAGATAAATGAGGGGCTCACAGAAGCCGAGCAGATTTAACTTGTTTTTCCTCAACTGGAGTGTCGGACACTGCCTGCTGTTTGGAAATTAAGTGAGACTTAGAGTCAGTAGGTCAGATGCGTGTCATGTGTTATAAATCACATTTAAGAGACTAAAACATCAGTAAATATACTATRAATACGTTTAGCTCAGCTTTATGCATTCTGCTTTATATATTTATAGCATATTTATTGATATTATATGACAACAGATGGGCATAAAAAATTGGGACCAAGGTCACGGACTTGTGGTACACCTACTATTCTATATTAAGTAATTATTGGGTTTCCTTCCATTTTCATTGGGTAAATGACCACATTCTATGGTTCAAATTCAATTTCAGTCAATTCAAACAAGCTTTATTGATCCCAGAGGGAAWTTAGGTTAGGAAATTAGGTTGACTCTATATTTGATATTTGGAAAAGTATTTTACAATTACAATTCTCAAAGTCAGACAACCAAGTACTTTGTCATGTGACCAGGTTGTAGAAGGAGGCTGACATTGTTTTTGGAAAAAATAGGAAGAGCTCCTCTGCGAGAAAAATATGAAAAATGGCCAAATGGTTGCTGCATTAAGGACCGCACTAACCCTAACCCACATAAAAACATCCTGAGAGAAAATGTTAAAATTTTCCGACTGCAAGAGCAAGAAAATAGAAATGTTAAGAGACTAGGTGGGCATGTCAGGACTCCACAGAAAGTCATTCAGAAAAAAAAGACTCCTCTGGAGCTTAACTACTTGGGCTGTAATATATTAGTAATGTATCCAGTGGCATGGAAGAACAACTAATACCAAAAATCTGTCTGCCTTTGTGAACAGCAATGCAGAGAAGCAAAAATTGTTTGGAGAAAGTACTTCCTGTATGAGTTCTTCTAATGCCACCATTGCTGAGTAAGGTTACTATTCTTCTGTAGTGACACCTACTGTCTTTTAGGGGAACTGCAGTGCATAATGCACATCTAACATTAGATTGTTTCATAGCCTGATGAGCACTTTACTAAGCAGTTAGTATCATCCTAAGCTTTTGTAAAATTGCAGTGACCATCAGTGAAGGCTAAAGAGTGGAGGGAAGCTGTGCCAGCTAAACCACCCAAAAAACACCAACGCTGAGCAAAAAAAAAAAAAAAAGTGCAGCAAAGGTGGCGATTGTGGAAATCTAACACCACCAGAACCCGAATGTGTCTTCACCTGGAAAATTTGCAAGATTGCGCTGTCCCCTGCTCAGACTCGATAAGGTCAATGTGCTGGTAGATTACTTTTTTATTTAAATTTAAGTGTGTGTGTGTGTGTGTGTGTGTGTGTGTGTGTGTGTGTGTGTGTGTGTGTGTGGCAGAAAAGACCAGGCAGACAGGAGCACCGGTGTTGAGCTCCACCAGGTGATGCGGCGCTCCTAAAACAGGCACAGCACCGATCGTACGACATGCTGATGAGTCCGAAGAAAAAACCAGGACAGAAACAGAGCAGAGACCCTTTTCCATCAGCGCACGCAGACAGCGAAACAACTTCACACCATCTGCAGAAAACAGCCTGCCCTTTCTTCAGGTTCCTGGAAACGCTGCCTCATCCTGCAACGTTTTCACTCACTGCTCCTTTAAAGGTTACACAGACTCATTTTTCTCCAAGACCGACCGTTCAAAACCTCAGCTCAGATCTTTAGAAATGGAGTTCATGGAACAAATATCTTACCTGTTGTGAATGGCCTCCATTTGCAGATGATATAAAGGCTAGTAGATTGCTGCTTTCTTGAAATTTTCAACGTGACTTTTTTCTTAAGTTTACAAACATTACTGTCGTACTCAGAGCATCGTAGTGTTCTTTTCTGCCATTTCATTATATTTTAAAAGAATTATAAGATGAGTCAAACTTGTGGCCCGAGGCCCAAATGTGTCCTACCACAACATTTTCTGTGGCCCGTAAGAACTTCAAAAATGTATTAATACATTAGTAGATTATTAGATTAGAAGTAGTTTTTTACTCATGAATTTCCACCAATAGATGGAGCTGCACGGGGTTCAAAAGCAGCTGGTAGCTGGTGAAATTTGCCAAGTAAAATCTTCATTTCACTGCATTTTTTTCTGCAGCCYAGTTGTACTGGAAAGTGGAAATTTCACATTTACAAGTCATAAATTTTCACTGGAATGCCCCCTTCAATGTGGATTCCCTGTTGGAAAGTGGGAGAGTTCAGAATTCAAGATGGCGGCTACTCACAACAAATCTTCAGTGAGTAAAACTCTTTTACTTTTACTTTATAGTATAGTAATAATGGTATACTAATAATTAGTTATTATTTATTTTGTACACAGTCGTACATATAGTACTTTTCAGTGTTTATAAGGTGACGTGTTAAAACACTGTTTCTATGCAGGAAATACCACGTAGAGCTCAGTCAAGGAACGTGACGTTTCATGTTTTTAGTCCAAGTTAAACACAAAATGTCAAAGTTAATTACAACTGGCCCTTTGAGGGCCACCATAATGCTCATGTGGCCTTCAGTGACAATGTGTTTGACATCCCTGAGTTATAAAGTGGAACTTGTGTTACTGGTGACTAAGATTAGCTGTTAGCTTGTCAATCTTGTGCAATTTTAAACTTTATTTCTCCAGACGGAGACCACTCAAAGAGCTATCGACAACATGTAAGATATCAACTGCTTATAATTTTTTTCACTTTGAAAGTTCGAAGTTATTTCTTTAAATTCAACCAGACTTCTTGCTTGAAAATCAAGATAAAGTGAAACCTCAGTTGCTTTTACAACAGTGACTTAAATCAAATTAAAAGTTTTTCTTGCTAATCTTTAAAACACTTAAACAAAAGTTTGTTTTCTGCTGCCACTGTTGTCCCTGAAGTGCTCATATTATCTAAAAGAACAGACCGAAAACACACATCTAATGAATATTCACGCGTGGCGTGTTGACATCGAGATAAAACCAGGTTTGGTGTGTCAGATTGTCTCTTGGCCTTTCCCTGAGCAGACAACAGCGCTCTACAGATAATGATGGAGATGCAACAGAATACCTGTTTGAGTTTAACCTGCGCCGACACAACCTTTAAGCATAATGAGAGGTGCTTACCCTGCAGGTTTACACTCTCATACCCCTCGGGCTGGATGTTCACAACTTAAGTGCTTTTAATAACATCTCCAAATATCAAGGGAGGTGCGAAATAAATTACACGGCTCCAAAACAAGGTCCGGCACACAGCGCGCCGCTCACAGGTTGATCTTTAACCGGAGGTTCATTATATGGAAGAAAAACAGTGGGAAAGGTCAGCTGATGGTGACTCATGCTTGATACAATTCAGCTGTCAGAGAGCGTTTGTGGTTGAAGCGCACCCATCACGCTCAAACCAAAGCAATTCTTTCAGGCTGCAACAAAGAGTCGCGAGCGGCGCTATTCCTGGCAACTTTAATGGATGTCTGGGTGATCTGAGTGCTCTTACTTGATGTTGTCCAGGCAACCGGAGTCTGGCTTCAGAATGGCCGTGTGATGGAACATCTTGTAGAGCGCGATGCCCAGGAAGATCACGTTCAGCTGGAAAAGAGAGGGGAAAGACAAGGTTGTGGGTTTCGTGTTTTAAGTGGCGTTTATTTTTAAAATCGGGGCACTTTGTCACACAAAGCAGGAACGCTGCAGCTAGATGTGGCCACTCCACCACCCAACTCTGMCAAACAGAGCGCAAAAATCCTGTAAACTGTCCTGCGTGACCTTGTCTCATTATAATCCCACTAAGGCTCAAAAACAGGGAGCCACTGCTGCTGTGGATGCTTCTTTTCTTCACATATAAAATATTTGTAAGAAAAAAAAATCAGCTATTTCACTAGCAATGACACCAATAACAAGTGGTGGGCACAGCTAACCAAAAAGCTAGCTTCACTAACCACTAATCCGCTAAGCAAGAAACGTAGCTCCGCTAATGTCCTGATGCATCTCAGTAATCCAGGTAAAAAATTAAAAGGAAAAAAATTGTATAGGTCCTCTGGACGGGTTCTTCTTTAATGAAACGTTTCGTCTCTCCTCCAAGAGACTTCTTCAGTCTGAGAGTTTCAGGCAAAATTCAGGCTTTTGAGTCCTGCCTCCAGGTGACTGATACTCACATCACATGGCTATCGTTGACACCTAATTAACACTTATTGTTAACAGGGGGCGGAGTGATACTGGCAATGGCAGCGCTGTAGGAGGAGGACAGCTGAAAACGGAGGCCTCCACCTCTGTTTAATGATGGACGGTCTTTCTTCACAAAATGGCTTCTTTTACTCCTCTCTCAAACCAACATTCCTCYCTATCAAGAATGAGAACATCCTCATCTCTGAAAGAGTGACCGCTGGCCTGTAAATGAGTGAAAACTGCAGAGTTCTGGCCATTAGACGTAGCTCGTCTGTGTTGGGACATTCTTTTGAACAGTGGCTGCTTTGTTTCCCCGATGTATAACTGGTCACAGTCCTCCTGGCACTTAACAGCATATACAATATTGCTCTGTTTGTGCCGGGGCACCGGATCTTTGGGGTGAACCAGCCTTTGCCGTAATGTGTTACAGCGTAGCTCCACTAACTTTAAAACAATATACAGATTATGAAATTAGTTGAAACTAACTGCTAAGATGGCTATTGCTCAGTCTGTGTCACTGATGCAAATGTTTTTACCCCTTTCAGAATAAAAACTTTTATTTGATCACGTTTGTTTCTTTAATAATTAGGCTACCGTTTGAACCTAGTTAAACATCAAACTGCCAAAACGTTCTCAACCATATTTTACACAGAGTCCATTTTTGTATTTGTTTTTAAAATATTGTTAAATGTTATTTTATTTCTTTTTGAAGTTTAGCTGCTGAAGATGCTAAATGCTACACACACATAGTGCCTGACATGTTCAGCACTGCTTATAAAAGGTGATAGGTTTTATTTCAGGATAAATGACATAAAAATGAAAGTTTAACACTTGAATTTTTTTGTGGACCTAAAATTAGAAAAACCTAACAATTTCCAAAGTTACCAAAATGCTAATCAGCTAAATAAGAAGCTAGCTCCGCGATTAGCAGAACTGTTCCACTACTTGCAATTACAAATGMTTTTGCATTAGAGGAACTTTTTCTTTTGTTCGCCAAACACTTGATGATTAGTCAATATAACAAGTAGGCAGTTTTATATTTACAGCTGAAGTATTACTAAACACAAGCAGAACAAAATGTATATTACACAGACCCACTCTGGTGTCTCTCAGTAATCTATTTTTTTCTTCTGTGAGCCGAAGGTTGCAGAAATAGAAAATGAGTCAATTCTAGTCACAGCAAGAGGTATGATGCTCAGAAGGGCTCCGAAACCACAGCAATTAGTCGGAAGTGGTGGAAAAATTAAATATAAAAAAATAAAATATAACAGCTGTGAGAAACAGCGTTGGAGACATCAAATTATCAAGGGATAGAAGCAGTGATGTACAGGACTGAACAAAAGTAACTTTGTTTCTAGCAGTCACAAAGATAATAATTGCTCTAAACTTTTTGTTGACTCTAGGAAAAACCCTAAAGATAGCACAAGTTGACAAATACAAAATATAATTTTAGCATCAACACAGAGATTCCAGAGAATTGTTAGCTAAAAATCTATCAGCCAGAAGATTAACAACAAAATTAGCATATTTCAGGTCAGTTCTTTGCTGAGGTATTTCATGTTTTAAAAAAGACAGAATTTTCTTCTGCTGCAGACAATTTTTCTTTTTACTTATTTCAAAGCAAATACTGCACAACATGCTAGCCTTTAAAGCTGGACAGGAAATGTGAGAAAAAAGAATCCAAACATAGATAGCAAAATTGTCTGGCCCAGTTCTGGCTCAAATGCATTAAACACTTGGCCCAGATACCAWTAAGAATGATGGATGGCCTTTTGGTGGCCCAGATGAGGTTTGCCAGATGTGGTCCATGCATGGGCCAGAACCACATTAACCAAGCCACAGCTTGGCCAGTTGTGGCATTGGTAGACTGATGTCTCATAAACCAAACCACAGCAGGGCCAGTTGTGGCATTAGAAGATTTAAGCCACATAAACCAAACCACAGCTGGGCCAGTTGTGGCATTGGTAGACTGATGTCTCATAAACCAAACCACGCTGGACCAGTTGTGGCATTGGTAGATTTAAGCCTCATAAACCAAACCACGCTGGACCAGTTGTGGCATTGGTAGATTTAAGCCTCATAAACCAAACCACAGCAGGGCCACTTGTGGCATTGGTAGATTTAAGCCTCATAAACCAAACCACAGCAGGGCCAGTTGTGGCATTGGTAGACTGATGTCTCATAAACCAATCCATGCTGGACCAATTGTGGAATTGGTAGATTTAAGCCTCATAAACCAAACCACAGCAGGGCCAGTTGTGGAATTGGTAGATTTAAGCCTCATAAACCAAACCACAGCTGGGCCAGTTGTGGCATGCCATCCAAAAAGCAACACCACCATTTCCAGACCTGGCCTACATTCTCTTGACAAACCACTTGCTCTGGCAGCAGTCAGCCAGTAGTGCCAGCTTAACACCAGGTCTGGCCCACACCTGTTTGCTCTGTGGGAATATGAATAAAAGTCTTGATAGGACCTTCAGAAAACCTTATAAATTATTAAACCAAAACTATTTTAAATGTTTGCAGGGATATCTGTGTTTTTGGAAGCAGATATAAAGAGCTAAAAGTGATTTAAAACGTCTGCACTGTTTTAGAAACGAAAGTGATTTGAGACAGGAAGAAGCCCTGTGAAAGATTACTCCTAACTGGGGTGAGAAAGTGCATTATGCATGATTGGACGTGGCAAACTCATCACTGCTGGGCAGTTAGACATGAATTATCACTGAATAATCACATTACATGCTCATATTCTTTACTTGTTTGTAGTCAGAGTCATGTTCGAGTTTGTATGTCGATACGCAGTAATTATCACCACAGTGAGAGGTTTCATTAAAAGGTACAAATAGACATGAAATTTGGATCAATATGAGCTCTTTTATTAAAAAAAAACWAAACAAATGTTCTTGTTGGTAGAAGCACACGGAGCCTCTCGTCTGCATAATTCATGTGTATCTGCAGCCAGAGCCTGCGAGGAGGAGATGAGGAAGAGGTAGTGGAGTATGTACAGGTTGGAACAGGAACAAAATCAATCATCATTGCGGCGTGGATTACACTGACGCTGCATACTGAGTAGAGTTTGCTCCGTCTAGCTCTCTGCTTCTAGCTTCAAACCTGCTACCCATACCCCTCATTCCCCCCACCTCCCTTCCAACCTTGTCACTGCAGTGGGGGTGACAAGCTACAATATATTCTCTACACCTCTCTTTCATTTCCTTTTTTTCCCCGGATGTCTCTGTGCCTCGCGGTGGCATATGTGCTCAACAGGGCAGAGACAAGAGGGAGAAGAGAACCAGAAGTAGGGAGGGGGGGTTTCTCTGTGGACCATTTAAGCGGCGACCTGCAGGCTAAGTAGGGTTAATGAGCAGAAGTGTGTGTGTGTGTGTGTGGAGTGTGGGGGGGTGTTAGGCAGGAGGGTAGAGAGGAGAAGGGAACTTACCATAATTATCAAGGTTGCCGGTCCTATGAAACTCCAGATGAAGTACGTGTCCAGGCGAAGCCAGCAACTGCAACAGAAGAGACAAACGAGAGGTGAAGGAGATGTGAAGTAAGGGACGGGACAGGGAGTATGAGCTAGAAAACTGAGCATGGAGAGGGAGAGAAAGGTTTGAGGTTATCGTTTATAATCCTGCTCAGGGGATATACATCAAACAGAGGGCTGGAGTGACACAGAAACAGGTGCTTCATAACTGTGGCTGAAGAATCGTGGCCATCTGTGAGAATTGTAAGGAAACTGGACTCTTGTAATTTACACAACAAAAATTATTAAAGGCTGCGGTTCTCAAACATTTCCCATCAAGCCCCCATTTTAAAGAATAAAAAAATTGTCCATAGTCCCCTCCCAAGAACAAAACAGTAGCAATACTGTCAGGTTCCCTTTCCACGGGTGTACCTMYAAGTGGTTCTCATCGGTTCAGCCTCAGCCAAAATGTGTCTCCATTTTTGGTTCTAACAGGGTACAACCGAGTGTTGCACGCAAACCAATTTGAGTCAGCAGACTGAGCCGGTGCAGAACTGACAAACTCTTCCTGAACAAAGATGCAGGAGACGATCGCTGGACAGAGCCGTCTGAAATGAGCAGATATCCCGGGAGGTTTCGGACAAACTCGCTGTCCACAGTTACCCATGCATTTCTAAACAGTGCTGCAAAAATGTTTTCAAAAGTTTCACTATTGGAAGATAAAACCACAATGGTTTAGCTGCTTGCTGATGATCTGACCGCAAAGTGAGGGGCACACCTACAAGTGAGTAGAACTGAGCAGACATGAACCGAATAGAGAGGACAATGGAGAAGTGCTCTACTGTTACTGTACAATAACAATCAAGTACTTAAGTATAAGCATATTTCTTAAATGAAATGCCATGCCATAACCATTTGTTTCTATTTTTCTGAATAATTTACTGTCCATTTTAAAAGCAATGAAAAAAACACATTGAGCAATATAGCCTCCCCTTTAACCGTCCCAGGAGGGATTGCCCCACAGCTTGAGAACTATTGAGTTGAATGGAAACGTATCACCTGACGAAAAAGTAAAGATTTAGATTTAAAAAAAAGCTCAATGTGTATTACTTTGAGTATCTGTTAAAGATGACATCCAGCTACTACCACACCGAATCCTAACCCAGTATCTGTAAAATTAACAAAGTTATTGGGACTTTTATACTAACTAATGTCAGTTAGTGGTTGTTGCCATCTTGCATTGGTTTGAATTGGTCCAATTTCATCATCAATTGGCTGAATTATGGCTTTTTTTCTTTCTTTTTTTTCTTTTTTTGTTTGTTTGATAATGTCCTTTAGCTATGACGGCCATCTTGAATGAAATAAACTTCAGTTAGTCATCTACATATGTAAATCTGACCATTGATTGATGAGATATTTTGCTTATAGAAAATGAACACATGCATCAGCAAAAATATTTTTGTTGCTTTTTCTTTGCTCAATAATATCCACATTCACAATAATACTGGTCTCCAAAGTAAACTTTTAAAATAACTTTTTATTTAAATAAACTGTGCACGTTAAAAAAAATACCCGACAATGACCAGAAATGAGCTTYTTCCTCATTCAGATTTTTAGGTCAAAGAGCCAAATTACCATCACAGACAATAATTCAGGAATGATTCAATTAGTTTTCAATGAATTGTAATTGCATCACTCCAGTGGAATTGGATTGACCTTGACCTCCTGACAGACATGGACCCACAGAGTCTTTAAGTACTCACCGATGTGTCTTACATGTCCGTGTTAACTGCGATTACTCCGCGAGGGCCGCCGGTATTTCGTCAATAATGAAATAAAGTGCTCCCCCTGACCTCATGCTTCATATGAAAACAGCACAGAAAGTCCATTTTGCTCAGCAGAAAGAAAAACTAAAAGCAGACCGGAAGAAACAGGGCCAGTGGAAGGTGATGAGGCTCTTTTGAGATGAAAAGAAAAAAGAAAAGAAAAAAAAACAGAACGTGATTCATGACCTGTGGTTGAATTATTAATCTTTTAATCTCCGCTGCTGCAGCGGAGAGACGCCTCCATTTTTGGCCACTGGAAAATGACAGTTCACGCCGCAGCGCTGTCATTCAGGCCGACACGGCAAGAAACTGGAGGCGGGAGACAGTTAACAGTAATTTGATATCAGTTTAAAAAGATACTTCTGATCTTTAGAAATAGGGTTCTTTGGAAAGGTTATGAACAATTACGATTTAGTTGTTGTAGACAATGGAATTATCCAAATTTGGTAAAATACAGATTGACAAGTTGACAAGTTAATGGAAGGTTAGGTGTTCTTTCAGCAACTCCTACAGGCCATGACAGATGGCTTATTCAAGTGGGACCAAGGCTGAAGAGGATCGCTGCATCTGCAGTCTCAAACAGTTCATCACAACTCATTAAACCACGATTCTGTAAACTTTTACACCATGTCTGAATGACAAGGTTCTGGGAGCAGAAATGCACAAGAAATAACCTCTGAATTCTATGTAAATAACCTTGTGATGAAAAACCGATGACGTTGTAAAAGAAAAATGATACTGTTTTAAATGCAAGAGCTTCGGCTTATTTGTGTTTCTTGTAAAAACCATGTCATTTATTTCCTTTTATGAAATTGCCACAAAAAAYAACAGTGACTTTAATTCTTGAATCTATTATTTCAGAAAATCCACCACAATTTCATAAAAGTTTATAAACACAGTTGAAGGATATTTTGGGATGGATTAAATTCATTTTAGATATAGTCTTAATCTCATGTTTTATAATTTCTGACTGATTTCAATCATTTACTTTAAACAGTAATATGATCAACAAGTCTCTTTTGAATATGTGCCTCGATCCAGTAGTGTAAACATATAATATTTAACATTTCGGGTACATCAACGCTGATGTACAAGTAACCACCACAAGGTGTGTGACCAGGTTTTCTATAAATAACATGGTTTTAATAACGACACATAAGCTTAAAGCTATTTTGATTTAGTTTTCCAGGGCCACACACAGGCTGTAGGCGAGATGGAGTCTTTAGATCATAAAACAAACATCTAACTGAGAACCAGATTTTTACAAGGTTACAAATAAGCTGCTATAATGTACTGTTTGATTGGTTGTTTTATGATGATTTTAATCAATCCACCTTGGTTTAAGTCAGATTTAAACTCTTTCTTCAAACTGTAGTCGCACAGATATCTACGACRRGTAAGATAATTATTCATAGCAATTCCATAGAACCCCACTTCAAAAGATCTGAGCTATCCATTTAGGGTGAATAGAAGCATTTAGCGCAGTGTTTCCCAAAGTTGGGGTCGGGACCTAAAGTGGGGCCCCAAAACGTCAAAGTGGGGTCCTGAAAAGATTTTCTGAATTAATTACATTTTTGCCTCAGTTGTTAAAAAGGAGTGATGTTAGTA